CTCAATACGCAAATAGCTAATCTAAACTAAGCTCTTTCTTTTTTGTAAATGGTTAAACATTATATATCATTAGTACACTATTTTAAATATTAACATTATAAAGGTAAAGGATTAAATTTTTCATTATTTATTTAAACGTATTAATCTCTGGAACTACCAGTTATATTAAGAAAAAAAAATTTTTGCACACAATTGATACAATAGCGACAACATATTCGTATAGTAAAATCAAGCGCTGTCGAGTTTTCTACATTGATTTTTTTATTGTGTTCAGCCAAAGTGACACGTTAAAAAGTAACGTCCCACAGCTGGACACAGGACTCCCTTCAATACGCAGTGGTAGCCCAGTGGTAACGCGCTACCTTGGGAAACCGAGTTAAGCGGGTTCAAATCCCGGGTCTCGCACCTCTGATATTTTCATGTGCGAATCATTTCTAACTTGATTACCACTTGCCTTACGGTGAAGGAAAACATCGAGAGGAAAGCTGCATGTCTTAGAAAACCTAGCAAGTTTTCGAAAGACATGTGAAGTCCGCCAACCAGCACTTGGCCAGCGTGGTGGAATATGGCCTGATCCCCCTCGTATTAAATTGATTTTTTAAAATTTACGTTTAATTATTTTGACAAACATCAATGTGATTTTTATACTGTAATCTACCGTTTTAGTTTAATCGGATGATGTATAGGTACAGTTTGATCTTCTTATACTGCAGTAATTAATTATCAGGGGTTGGAACAATGTTTTATTGGGTAAAACGGGTTTATGTCAAAGGTAAATATTTGTGAAAAAAATGTGCCATTATAATAGATATTAGAAAATTTACCCGTACTTTCTTTTAATTATATTATAGGTAAAATTTTAATTTGGTGCCTTATTTTCTAATTCAAATTAGATCCAATAATATTATTAACGCACAATATGCACTTTGTTATACAAATCATGGCTAATACTAACTATAATATGTTATAATGATAATAGAATAATAATATGTTGGGACATTAATACACAGCACCATCTAGTTCCATGGTAAGCTACGAGACGTGTGTTATGGATACCAGATAGTTGATACACTACACACGTATAAACTTTAAATACATACATATTATAAATATTAACACCCATGACTAGAGTACAAACATTCATGCTCATCACGCAATGATTGCCCGCGGGACTCGAACCTGCGACCGCTGGCACAGCAAGTAGGGTCACTGAACACTGAGCAAAACGTGTCGTCTAAACTATATAAAATAAATAAAATAAAACAACACACAAATCCGAAAGGGAAAACTAGTTTTAAAATAACAGATATTGAGATTAGAGAATGCACATAGTGCAATAGATGGGTAATATACATAGTTGATGCACACATGCTTTTTGATTAGGGTTGCCGATTGGTTTGTAACACAATTCGGAAATACTGAATCAAAAGCAGGAATGCAGTACCATGTCAACGACTCGTTTGTCATTAATTTTCCTTCAGATACTAATATCAAAATACGAATCTGTCTACGTAAATTGATTGCTCAAAATACAATGTGTATTTCCGGATAGCTTAATCCTGCGAATTTTGGTATAGATACATATGAATGTCGAGGCGCTGATAACGAATATGCTATATACACTTATCGAATACTAGCATTGCCCACGGCTTTGCTCGCGTTCAGATGACCAAAAACATATTCTCAAGTTTTACATATTAGTATACTCTTACATTGCAGTTTTTGTATTTTTTCTCAGAAATGAGATCTTTTTCCGCAGTAAAAAGTATCCTATATGTTGACCCGGATAACCAGCTACCATCATACTAAATTTCATCAAATTCCCTCCAGTGGTTTTTCCGTGATGCAGTAACAGACAGACAGACAAAAATTCTAAAAACTATAGATTCGGCCTCTGTATCCATAGTAATGTCTATTGCAATAAGATTTTTCAAAAAATATTTAATGTACAGATTCGGCTTAGTTAGAATTTTATTATATGTATAGATGTTATACATATTTTATTTTCAAGGTCAAAACTAGAAAAACGTTTTTAATGTTTTTCACGGTTTTCGTAAAAAGGTATGGACTATTCGGAAGTTTATCCGAAATACATTATTATGTTGGGGCAAAATATTAAAAATATTGTTTTTTTTTTATTTATTTTTTTTGAATCTTTTGTATAGTCCATTTAATCATATAATACTTTCTTAGATTTAAGCGAATATTTGCCATTTTAAATAACTATCTTTTCGGATTTTTTCGGGCTGCCTGCAAACATAGCCAGGACCGCCCAAGCCATTATATTCGCTTCGATAGACCTCAAATCCTCGCGAAAGAAAACCGATATCGCCCTAGAATGATTCGAGAAGGCATAGAAATTAAAAAAACATCCAAATTTCAATAGGAAAGATGGCTGGGTACTACCATCGTCATGTGATCCTATTATTAATATAATAAAAACAAATCTAAACATAACAGACAGATGTAGTAAGTTCTTACTGTGTGGATCAAAATGACAGCATTTCAAATTAATATTTTCATTTGTAAATGTGTGTAGTAATAGTTTTGCGTAATAATTAATTTTGTTTTTAAATAATAGCAAACTAAATTAAAATTATTATTCTTAATTAAGTTTAACTTTTTAAATTACACATAGAACAATTATGTGGCTTAAATGATTAATATGTATTTAAATTCTTTATGATTATAAATATAGGTAATAATGGCAACACTAAATATAAATTACTAATTAATATATTTTTTACTAAAAGAATAAATAATATTCCATATTCAATTATAAAACTAATTAAAATTATAAAAATGTTTAAAATTAAAAAATATTGTAAGGTGCCATTTTTGTGCTTTGGTGCCATTTTTCAATTTTTTGAATTCATTTTGTTATTTGTGGGTAGGCTGTCTGTAACAACTATATAATACCTTTGAGACATCTAACACCTTAGTCTCTCCCGTGACCATGATTGCTGTAAAGCATTCAAACGTCTGGAACCAAAAATCCAAATAAATCCGCGAAAAAATCCGAAAACATAGTTTTATTTAAAACATTTTTTACTCATAATTTATTTACGCGTATCATTTTTACAAATAAAAAACTAGTTTTCATGATTTCTTTTACTAATGAATAATATCGTCGCAGAATGAATGATTATTATTTTTTATTTAAATTACTTAACAACCTTTCTGATTCTCCATAGTTTTTGGGTAATATTCATTTTAGATATCCAAGCTGCCACGTTCGTAGAAGAAATCTATACCATGTACCTACCTTTAACCAAAACAAAATTTACTTATAATCTGCTCTTACATAGGTCTTGTCGTGATTTTAATACTCACTTTGACTATATAGATAATTATTATAATGAAGTGTTCTGTTATAAATTTCAAAATATTAATTAATGGTATAGTCCAATAATTTTTATATTTTCTTGTAGGTACTTTAAATTGTGTTTATTGTATGTATATTTATATGTACTTTGTCAATCTTTTTGCTTAATTTAACCTAGAGTTTTCAACTCTAATTATTTGTTTCTTATTTGTGTAAACTTAATTGGTAAATGTGTATATTTTTTATTGTATGTTCTGTGGTACTGTTTGTTTCCGTAAAATAAAAAATAAAAATATTATAGCTCAAAGATGGTTCTTTAAGAATTTCAAGAAAGGCATCTCTCTATTGAGAGAAAAAACCGCAAATGATAGTTTTATTTAAAAGGTCCACTACAGCTACTATTGATAAATATCAAGGAGTAATTTAAACTTCGAAAGTGAGTTTTAAGTAAGTGTACCTTTTAAATAAAACTATCATTTGAGATTATTAAATAAAACTATCTTTTCGGATTATTTCGCGGATTTATTTTGATTTTTGGTTCCCGACGTTTCGAATGCTTTACAGCATCCATGGTCACGGGAGAGACTGAGGTGTTACATGTCTTGAATGTATAGTTGTTACAGACAGCCTACCCACAATTAACGAAATGAAAATTGCACCAATTACATTACAATATTTTTTAACTTTAAACATTTTTATAATTTTAATTATAATTGAATATGGAAAATTATTTATTTAATATTTGCTATTATTTTTATAATTATTACAATTTTAAAATATTAATTAGTAATCTATATTTAGTATATTTAGTAATCTATATTTAGAGTTAATAATTAATATTTTAAAATTGTAATAATTATAAAAATAATAGCAAAAATTAAATAAATAATTTTCCATATTCAATTATAATTAAAATTATAAAAATGTTTAAAGTTAAAAAATATTGTAATGTAATTGGTGCAATTTTCATTTTGTTAATTGTGGGTAGGCTGTCTGTAACAACTATACATTCAAGACATGTAACACCTCAGTCTCTCCCGTGACCATGGATGCTGTAAAGCATTCGAAACGTCGGGAACCAAAAATCAAAATAAATCCGCGAAATAATCCGAAAACATAGTTTTATTTAATAATGTCAAACATTCGCGTAAATCTAAGAAAGTATTACTATCATTTGAGGTTTTTTCGCAGAATTATTTTGATTTTTGGCACTCGACATTACGAATACTCTCTCCCGTAACCATGACTGTTGTAAAGCAACCCGAAAACCCCCGGAAAGAAAGTTTTATTTAAAAAGTTAAATATTTGTGTAAATCTAAGAAACTGTTGAGTGTACTTTTATAGTGATATTATAAAATTACAGAAACGCAACGGCCAGCGTAACAAGCAGTATTTATATTATACTCACCGTAATTTTACACATGAATTTCGAATAATCTGTTTCTTTTATCTTTAATCATAAAAAAGGTTCCTATTTTAGTACATATTACTTTTGATATCTTTGTTTTTTTTTTAATGTAATTTTTTTAAATATAAAATTACCTATTTTTACCATATACTTAACATATGGCGTTGTCCAAATATTATACAACTGTCATGTTATATTATATAAAAATTATAATGCTTTTTATCGAGAACAGCTAGTATCGTACTGATATAGTGTTGTCTCTCCTAGGGCAGCAACAGCAGTTCCACTTCGCTTTTGGACAGAGGCCGTTTCCCTTTCCGCCAGACCCACTCGGAGGATTCCGCATGCCACCCATCACTACGTGTCAAAGTAAGTAGAAAGCACAACCAAAAATACAACTAAAATGTCCTAAATCGCATTTAGCGCCCTTCTAAATTGCAAACCGCACTCAAAACCTCATAACGCGTGTGATTGCTCAAAAGTGAATGAGTCACCAAACCGTGCGGTGATACGCTAAACTACGTTCACTAAAGCGCGGATTCAATCAGCCGCCGAAAAAAAATCCAGATGAAACCTGACTGCGAACCCAATCGAACAAGCGTGCATCGAGCCCGCTAAAATCCACGATCGGCCCAAAACAACTCGAGCGGCTCAAAATGGGAAAAAAACATTCACAAATCGACGCGGCGAACGCGTATCCTATAAAAACCGAGTCCGCCGATCGTCGGCCAAAAACGGAACCGTGATACCGAAAAATAAAAGCCTGTAATACTCCGGAAAAAATAAAGTGGATGCAACGTGCGAGCTGCCTTCGCTATAGCGTTCATTTTGTCCACTCTAGATATCTTTATAAGTGGTGCTGGTATTATTTTCAACTTTATTCAGTACTCGGAATGAATTTTTTATCCGTATTTTGTACAGATTGTTTAGGTTTTTCTAACTGTGAAACTGTAGCTTTTATCATTGATGCTTGTGGATTATTAACAAAGGAGTTTATAGTTTTCAACAGACTTTTCTTACAGCTTATTTTAGTTTAAAAAAGTTTATAGTAGTATATATATGTATAAATAATATATATGTTTTTTTAAGATATGAGCCAATTTGGGCTTAGTTCGAGTAATTCACACTGGGGTTACGGCGGTGCAGGAGCATATCCTGCTTACTTGCCTTCTTGTGCCGCGCCTGCCGCCACTCAATTCAACCCTCCAGCACTTGGCTTCGCAGGAACTGTGCCCGACCAGACTCCTACGCAGGACTTTACAAATAATACTGGTAAAAATTTGCTACACCATACTAAGTAATAATAAATAATTTACTGCCTACGGCTTGCTGAATGCTATTAGTACGCCAGTTTGATTTTTTCTCTCCGACGCATATACGTTTGGTTATTTTAAATAATTCATCTTAACCTTTTCATTTGGATTAGAATCTGTCTACGATACGTAGATCCTAAAGTATTCAAAATTCGAATTCGTACATCAGATTTTAATATAAATATTTTTTTATTTCTATAAAATATAAATAATCGATTATTATTTATATACATACCATAGATATAAAACATTTGTATAATTTATATATGTAAACGAATATTCCTACTTTCTACCAAGAAAGACACATTTAAGTGACTTTTCTTACAAAAATATCTTTGCTTTATAAAAATAGAACAGGTTATTGGTTCCCTATAACCATAACTTAAATATTAACCCGCACCAGACTGCACAGCATTGTTTGGGGTATGATAGTCTATAAATTATCCAACCAGCATGGTGAAATTAAATGTACCAACGTGGTTTACGACTGACATCCTCCTTGAAACTGTTCGGATAGCATGGCGGACATTAAACCGGCTCTCATTATAATTTACAACGGCTCGGACACGTCCGATCTAGGCGATGAATTTATTGCCGATGCGTGCCACAATTACGAAAAATATAACATGTTAAAACAATATAAACATGCTGTTTCAAACAAATGCATTGTAACTAAATTAGAAACGTCTGTTTGTGCAGTTCTACCGGATACAACGGGAGTTGATTTGGACCAGCAGCTGTCGGGTCTAGTGGGGTCATCACCATCTCATCACGGCAGCCTCCTTCCTCGATACAACAACAACACAGATTACAGCTTATCAACAGGACCCCGGTCACTAAGCGATAACAGCTCCCAGCCAGAATCTCCAGTGCAAGACGACTTACTAACATCGAACACTAGCACAAACATCGGGCACAATCATACAAACAGTTCCAATTTCCCATCGTTAATGGGATCTCAGAATTCATCTTATAATAGCAACTGTAACAATTCTTTGTACCCTGTATTGCCGGCTAGCTTGTTATATAGCCAGTTATACACAGCGGCAAACCAAACACATAATTTTCATCCATTGCATTCGAATTCTATTCACTCGACACAGAATCATCACAACGAGTTGCAGACGATGATGGATCAGATTTCTTCGACTACGAATAATCACCGTCAGCACGGTAACCACGGGCAGGGGGACTTGTTATTAGGGGGAGGGAACTCGTGTGCCGCGGCGGCGGCGAGAGGGGAGGACGGCAGGGTTAATAGTCTCGGACAACGAGGTAATCCCCAACCAGACAGTAACACTGTATGGCGGCCGTATTGAGTGTTCTAATAAACAAAAATAATATACTGACGATCGTGTTTATTAACGTCCCTTTGCTAATTCATTCATTTTTAGGTGTACCTCTAAGACATTTTGATTGAATTTTTGTTAGTACATAAAGGTGTCACGAGATGTAATTTATCGTTGCTTTAAGGGACTTTAGTAATGACGAATTTTAAGCATTATTCTGAAACCTCAACTTCTAGTCTAAGTAAAGTAGACGAAGTAACTCCGTATATCGAGGTATTTTGAATCCATGACTTCGCTAGCGTAAATTTTAATTTGGACCTTGCAACGAAATATGTACTGTAACTATTGGAGAGGTAGACATGGATTCATTAATTCATCAAGACACATAAAAATCGCTCCCGTCCTTTTAATGATACGATTAATCAAGTAAATTGATAATATATTCGTATAGCAAATGGATGTCATATCCAACAAATGTACGTACTTATTCTCAATGTATATTAATCTTGTTTTTTAAAATATGATTTTTTTTTCTAATTTTTGTTTGACTAGTTAATGTTTTCATGTATATATTTTTTATTTTAAATACCTTTGTTGTATTTGTGCGTTATTTCATTTAATTTCAAGTGATATAATCTTTGATTTTACTCTTTGATCATAATTATTTTTCTTAATTATACATATAAATATTTACTTTGTTGAAGAACTTACAAGCATCTGAACATTGTTAAACTTTTTTTACTTGTTTTTATTGTTTACCTAACGATATTTATATCACAGATTATATATATTAAATATAAGAAATGTTCGCGATCATTTTTATTAATTTCATTGTTATTAGTGTGCAGCTTTTTATTTTTAAAATATTAAATATTTTATAGTAATCAAAAACCAATAATTGCAAAGTTCAATCACTCGGAAATAAATAGTTAAAGTAGGTATGTATATTATTACATTATACGTTCTTCCTATATTTTGTTTTATTTTATGTAAGAAATTAACTATTTACTTAATTTTTTAAATCTTCAACTAAATATAGTAATATTGGAAAAATTGTACATAAAATTGTGAATAATTTGTTGTAAATGCATCTTGTAAAGTGCAATAGTTGTGCAATTAAAAGTTGAGTAGATGTATACTTTAGAAATAAGATACGATATCTGTTGATTATGTGAAGTCTGTCCATTGTAGATAATCGAGATAAATTAGGCGATGTTTTTTTTAATATTATAAAATTTACGTTAAGGTAAAAAATTATTATTATGTTCTGCTATGTTAAAGTGCCATATTAATAATTTAAAAAAGCATGACCTATCTATATGTTTTATTTATCACGAAATAATTAAAAATAGGTAAACCTTTTTGTTGACCTTAAAAAACCTGTGATGGTTGTGAAATTTTTTGATTGGAGTCTAAAGGACATTATTGCCAAATTTTAAATACTTCATTTAGATATTATTTAGTACTTATGTGATAACCTATATTATTACTATTTTTTATTATTAATCTAATATCATGTTTTACTAATTTAATGTATCTTATAATTTTTCAACATGTTCAATTTTGTGTAGCAGTTAATTTGTATAACAGCTTGTTGTTACATGTTTTGTTAAATGCAAGTAGCATTTTGTATAAATAAATTTTAAAGAACACTGTTGTTTAATTAATGTTATCCTTTTTACATAATATTATAATAAAAATATTCATAACAAAATAGAAGCAATTTGAAAAATACCATTTCTAACTCATAAATTTTGATTATTTATCAATAAATACATTAGAATTTATACCTTGCCTGAAAAATAATATCTATAGAATTCCCATAATTTTATTTTCCACAAAAAAAATGTCAACATACTTAAAAATAATATGGTAAAATTTATTATGGTAATACACACCATAAATACAATGAATACAAAATATAATTTATCATAGTGCACTAAACCACGCACGTCACAATTTGATAGCTTGATCCGGAATCCAACAGTTAAATAGTTGAGCCGTTATAAGCCGCAACTTCAATAGGTATATCAACTTTAATGAGCTCATTACTGCAGCCGAGCGTAATACTACCTCTACACGTTGGCCCAACACAAATAACCGATATATAGCGAGACCTGGCACTAACTTGGCCCAACGTGTGAGCCACCATAACATTTGCATAACCTGACGTCACACACACACATACCAATCGGCGAATTGATATTTTGTACAACGGCAAACGAAACTCTGGAATAAATATCCCACCCTCATTAATTTGCGCCAATACGATACGATGGACAGACGAACGAGTCGTAGGTTGACCACGCTTTATGTAAAATAGAATTAATACTGTCAATTAATTATGTGTGTGCATATTTTACGTAATAATAATAATAATAACATATTCTAATCGTATTATGGTAAAATCTTTATAAATTCTAATAGATTTTTATATTACTTTAAATATTTTTATTTTAAACTGAGAAAACTTATAGTATAGTATAATAAAGAATTTGTGTCCAATCTACTGCAATAAATGTCGAGATTAACAGTAATTATACTTGTTTCTAATAAGACTCTCTTAATAAGCTAAAGAGCATCAGTGATGCTGCCCGATGTGATTTAACAATATGAAAAGAAAAAACAAAAGTGTATAAATAACACTAGAATGAAATGGTTAGCTATTTGAAATAAAACTGAAATAATATCAACATAATAGAAGCGATAATTATAAAAATAAATAAATAAACTAAACAAACAATATCTCATTATTAAAAATGCAACAAAAAGCATAGTCATCCTAGTATGTCACCTGATTACCTACGATAATATATGCGAGCCCACCCAGCATCTGTGAGGGAAAAATCGATGGCAGGCCGATTTGGACAATAATGAGATTTAAAATTGTGAAGTAATTAATGAGGATTAGTGCACTGGCAGTGACGGATACTGCCGTCGAAACTACTGTGTATTTTGCTGCTTTCGATCAGTAACTATTTAGTATATAAAAATTAAACGTAATTATTGATATATAAAGTGTACATATGACTTTATTTTTTAAAGTATGAATGAACAAATGAATATGGGTGATACAAATACCTAGAATAATAAAGTAATAATTATTATGTGGGATATTCGCTTTTATTTTTTCATTGTTACGAAAATTTTGTTGAATTTAAAAAAGGCAGATTCTATCATAATATACCTACTCGTATTTATGAGACCCAACTTTTTATGATTTTAAGAGCTCATAATATATCATTTACTTTGACGTTTGTAAAAAAGTCAATTTTAAATATTCATATCATTACACTTCACATGTTATTTATTCCGCTCCAGTTAAATGTACGAAGTGTTCTCTTTTTAGGGACCCGTACCCGAACGACCAACGGTGCCAACGGCCTATTACTATTTACTAAGCCTCCGCTGTCCATCCGTCTGTAAGAGGGCTGTACCTCAAGAACAGGTAGAGAGTTGTAATTTTCACAGATTATGTATTTCTATTCCCGCTATAACAATATATGATAAAAATAAATAAAAACTTAATATAATCGAAGTCAATATACTACATACATAGAGTAAAAGTCATATTAATAAGAAGTACATGTACAATGGTATGGAACTCTTCGTGTGCGGATTCGACCCGCGCTTGACCGATTTTATTTTATTTTCGTATCTTTAACTGTATTTATTAAATTGTATTTTTCAGATTACATACATACTTATATCTGTAAAAAAAATAACAAAATCTATGACACACTCCAGGATAAATGATAACGTCGAAGCCGCCAAACATAAATGGCGTCGCATCACGAGAGGAGCGGTGGCGCAAGACTCGACCGAGATATGACCACGACCCCTCTGTTAAGAGTGCACGACTGAGAATAAGAAGAATCTGTATGGTGCTAATAATTTTCTAATGAAATGGCTACATATTACGAAGGGAATAAAAAAATAAAAAAATGTAATATTAAAGAACCAAAAAAAAAAACATATTTTGCACAAATGATGAATTTCCTTAATTCGGACTACTATTATAAATACGAAAGTTTGTACATATGTGTATGTTGGTTATCTCTTCATACTAAAAAGGCTGGACGGATTTGGATGAAATTTAGTAAACAGATAGACTAAATAGACAGATAGACCTGGAGTTACACAGTTACCAAGAGTCACACCCGAGCAAAGCCACGGTAAGTCGCTAGCATAATATAATTGCCATAATGATACAATAAGTTCATTATTATTTTTATGCTATATACATTTTATCGCCAGTGTTTGCAATTAATTACAACAATCAATAATTTCGCGCTCCGTCGAGCGAAAACTACAACACTGTGCGGGCCAGATAACGGCAATACAAAGCTATCTTGCTGAAATATGCGCTCATTATATAAACAATTATAACAATCTAACAAAATCCAGGGCTTACTTTTTTAATTCTACTAAACTTTGAGTTCAATAAAAGAAACTTGATGCGTAAAATTGGTGAGACCATATTTTCATCGAATAAAAATATTTTATTTTATATATATGTATGTATTAAAAGTTATATATGTGTGTATCAACTATCTGCTATCCATAAAACAAGCTTCGTAGCTTATCATGAACCTAGATCGCGCTGTGTGTTAATGTCCCAACATATTTATTTATATATATTTCTATATGCAATTAGTAAAACGCTGTTATTTTGACATTACAAACAGACACATCAATTTTATTTGTCTGTATAGATAAAATGTTAGTAATGTAATAATAATAATAGAAAGCCTTTTTTTAAGAATGAAAAGATCTTTGCTAAGCCAAGCCAATCCTAACGCATGTAATATTTTAATTACTTGAAATTCATGTTAAATTATAACTATAAGTTTCCGAGACAACTATATAAAATTAAGATTTAGTTGAATGCTAATTTATAGCAGACCAATACCTGATTATAGGTAATATATTGGTATAACAAAGCCGGGTTCTCGTAGTCGCTCGGAGTGAGGGATTATGGATTCAAGCTACGAATAAACTACAGGTGCAGTCGCCGTCTTAAAGTT